CCCCTGTTAACCAGGACTGCTGATAAATGATGGAGCGTGGCTTGGCAAGCTCTCTTCCGCTCCCTCAGCACTCTTGAGTGGGTGCCATCTGGGCCCATAGCCTTGTATATGTGTAAGTGGTGTAGGAGGTCACTATTTCCCCTTGGGTTATGGGCACTTCATTCTGCTCCCCATCCCTGTCTTCCAGCTCCAGAGGTTCGGTACCTTGAAAACAGCTGGTCTTACTATTAAAGACTGAGGCAAAGACAACGTTAAGTACCTCAGCCTTTTCCTCAGCCTTTGTCACTATGTTTTCCCCCCACACCCAATAAAGGATGGAGATTCTCCTTAGCTCTCCTTTTATTGCTAAAATATTTATAGAAAAATTTTTTATTGTCTTTTATGGCAGTAGCCAGATTAAGTTCTAGTTGGGCTTTGGCCCTTCTAATTTTCTCCATGCATAACCTCACAACATTCTTGTAGTCCTTCTGAGTTTCCAAAGGTCATAAACTCTCCTTTTTTTCCCTGAGTTCAAGCCAAAGCCCTCTGTTCAGCCAGGTGAGTCTTCTTCTGTGCCAGCTCATCTTTTAGCATATGGGGACAGCCTGCTCCTGTGCCTTTACAAATTCCTTCTTGAAGAATGTCCAGCCTTCCTGAACTCCTCTGCCCTTCAGGACTGCCTCCCAAGGAACTCGGTCAACCAGGCTCCTAAATGGGCCAAAGTCTGCCCTCCAGAAGTCCAAAGTAACATTCTGCTCACCCCCCTCATTACCTCTCCAAGAAGCTAAAACTCTATCATTTCCTGATCACTATGTCCAAGACGGCCTCCAACCATCACATCACCCACCAGTCCTTCTCTGTTCGCAAACAACAGTTCCAGTGGGTCACCTTCCTCAGTTGGTTCACTCACGAGCTGTGTCAGGAAATTACCTTCCACATAATCCAGGAACCTCCTAGACTGTTTCTTCTCTGCTGTATTGTATTTCCAGCAGGCATCAGGTAAGTTGAAGTCCCCCCAGGAGAACAAAGGCTAGTGATTGTGAGACTTCTCCCAGCTGCTTACAGAATATTTCATCTGTCCCTTTATATTTCATAACAGACTCTCACCATGATGTCTGCCTTGTTGGCCTTCCCTCCGATTCTTACCCATAAACACTCAACCCTATCTTCACTGTCATTAAGCTCTAGAAAATCAAAACACTCCCTAACATACAGGGAGTATACAGGGATACCCTCCTTCCTCGACTATCCCGTCTGAAGAGTTTATAGCCATCCATTGAAACACTCAAACTGTGTGAGTCGTCCCACCATGTTTCCATGATGGCAACTGTATCACAATATTATTGCAAAAATGTCATAGTTGCCTTGCAGTTGATACAATCTCTGAAAATAAAATCATCCTGGTCTAAGTTTAGTAGGTATGTGCAAAACTATCAATATTCTTACTCCGATGAGCTTATGAGAATGTGGTCCACATCTGACTGTCAGAAGTTTAGAGCAGGTATTACCCAAGTATTTGGCCTCCAAAATCTCTGAAAATAAAATCATCCTGGTCTAAGTTTAGTAGGTATGTGCAAAACTATCAATATTCTTGCTCCGATGAGCTTATGAGAATGCGGTCCACACCTGACTGTCAGAAGTTTAGCGCAGGTATTACCCAAGTATTTGGCCTCCAAAATTATATCTAGAATTGATACCTCTGACCATGCAAATGAAAGACAATGATATGAAAGCGTATGTCCCATTAAGCACAACTAGCAAAGGATTAGAGTTATCCTCTTAGATGTTCTCCCTCTTAGTTCTCCTTGCCATTCTGCTTTATCTTATCAGACTGCAAGTAAAAAAAAAAAAAAAAAATCATTGAAATCACTGCAAACCATGTCCTGGGCTGCATCAGGTTTGACCAGCAAGTTGACGGAGGTGATTCTGCCCCTACTCCATGCTGGTGAGACCCCACCTGGAGTACTGTGTCCAGCTCTGGGGCCCCCAACATAAGAAGGACAAGGACCTGTTGGAATGGATCCAGAAGAGGGCCACTAAGATGATCAAAGGGATGGAAAACCTCTGCTGTGAAGAAAGACTGAGAGAGTTGGGGTTGTTCAGCCTGGAGAAGGCTCCGGGGAGACCTTATTGCAGCCTTCCAGTACTTTTAAGTATTTTTAAGGAGGCCTACAAGAAAACCGGAGAGGAACTTTTTACAAGGGTATGTAGTGATAGGAAAAAGGATAATGGTTGTAAACTGAAAGAGGGTAGATTTAGATTAGATATAAGAAAGAAATTCCTCACTATGAGGGTGGTGAGGCACTGGAAGAGGTTGCCTAGAGAAGTTGTGTTATGCCCCAACGTTGGAAGTGTCCAAGGCCAGGCTGGATGGGGCTTTGTGCAACCTGGTCTACTGGAAGGTGTCCCTGACCATGGCAGGGGTGTTGGAACTAGATGATCTTTAAGGTCCCTTTCAACCCAAAACATTTTATGATTCTATGGTCCTTTGAAATAGAATAGATGAGGTATGCAGCGGGAAACAGAAGAGCTTACCTTCACAAACGGGAACTTTCCCAGTCCATGTGCCATCAGACCTACAGGCTCTATGCTCTGATCCTCCTGCTAGGAAGAAGCCTGGCTGACAGGTATAAATCAATGTATAACCTAATGAGGGAAGGTCCATTCCTGCAACATTAGCATGACTTGGTGTTTCCGGTTGTTTACAGCTGTGAGCTACAAAGAAAAGGTAAAATATCCTTCAGTCAAAATGGTGAAAATATATCTAAAAAAAATCTAGATTAGATATAAGAAAGAAATTCCTCACTATGAGGGTGGTGAGGCACTGGAAGAGGTTGCCTAGAGAAGTTGTGTTATGCCCCAACGTTGGAAGTGTCCAAGGCCAGGCTGGATGGGGCTTTGTGCAACCTGGTCTACTGGAAGGTGTCCCTGACCATGGCAGGGGTGTTGGAACTAGATGATCTTTAAGGTCCCTTTCAACCCAAAACATTTTATGATTCTATGGTCCTTTGAAATAGAATAGATGAGGTATGCAGCGGGAAACAGAAGAGCTTACCTTCACAAACGGGAACTTTCCCAGTCCATGTGCCATCAGACCTACAGGCTCTATGCTCTGATCCTCCTGCCAGGAAGAAGCCTGGCTGACAGGTATAAATCAATGTATAACCTAATGAGGGAAGGTCCATTCCTGCAACATTAGCATGACTTGGTGTTTCCGGTTGTTTACAGCTGTGAGCTACAAAGAAAAGGTAAAATATCCTTCAGTCAAAATGGTGAAAATATATCTAAAAAAAATCTATATACTCTGACAGGTAACTAATGAAGAAGAAAGCATAAATAAAAATAACATATTAATATATTTTGAATTCACATTAAAAATTACTATATAGTCTATATATTACTGTCCTGAGCCTGTAAATACACTCTTGAAAACAGACCTTTGGATTTCAAGTCACCAAGAACCAACTTAAACGCAGTTGCGCAAACAAAATTAATTGTCTGCATATGTGAACATAAACAACGCACATCTGATCACAGTCCAAAGCAATCATGGCTTCTGACTTACATGACTTATGATATCGGTGTATCATTGAATAACAGTAAATAAATGAGTCATTTGGAAAACACTATGAAAGGTCAAGGAGAAATTGTAAGTGAGGCAAGTTTTAATTATCAGGCAGAAAAATTAATTACCATTCCTAACTTCATGCAAAGTGTTTTATATCTCTAACAAGCACCAGAATCTGAGAGTCTTGTGTTATCTAAAAAACAGCATACCTCCAAGAGCAGAGCTCACCTTTCAACACACTGAGCTACTGATTTGCTGTTTGATTAGGGGGAATGCTAGCACCAACTGAAACACTAATGTTGTTTTCTTCTGTGGATGTGCTCTCCATACAATGAAGTGATTCTATAAGGTCAGACCTTATAAGGTGAGACCTTATATATTTCCAGAAAAATACAGCTGGCTAGCTGACAAACTAGAAAAATTAACCGTAAAATGATACTTTTAGTAAATTAGCACTATTTACTAAAGAGTAAAAGATCTAAGAAATGAAATGTTACTTCGGGTTCCTAAGTAAGAAGATTCTCTCCATTTTGGATCCAAAACTTTCTAATTTCAAACATTTTTTTCCCCCCTTTTTAAAATATCCTGACTCCTTAGTTGGGAAACAGCTCAAACTCTTTACTAGAACTGGTTGTAACTATCTTCTCTGGTACAAGTTAGGGCTGTGCAGGGCTTTCCTACAATGTCCTGTTCTTATCACTTCCTCTCTTCATTGGAAAGGTTTCACCTTCTTAAATAGAAACACTGTTTTCAACATCTCTATGGATGAAGAGCTGCCTGTTATTCTCATTATTTTATGTTGTGTTTTTTTCTATAAGCTGTTTTAGAAAAACTCACTCACATATGCACATTTCTAGCTGCTGTAATCTAGTAATGCAAATTTGTACTAACAGTAAATTAATACAACTATATAAAATAATAACTTTATAACAATGTTACTGTAACTGAATTGCCTAGGTAAAAAAGTGATAGATCCAAAAAACTATCATTTACTTACGTATACATTCTGGCTGGATTCCACTCCACGTAAGATCAGGAAGGCAAGTTCGTGTTGTTGAGCCATGGAGAAGGTGTCCTTTTTTGCACTGAAATTGAACAATATTTCCCACCTGTTGAAAAGCAGAAAACACAATAATATTGTTATGAAGAAATATCACTTATTGCTTTTTTTTTCCAAATTTGATAGCATACTCCTCCACATAAAACAGGCTCAATAAATTGTGATGCTTTTACTGTACAAAGTAAATTAATTTCACAGAGAATTTTGATATGAAATAAAACTTTGCTTCATTCTCATTAAGATGGCAGCTCAACAAGAGTACAGGGACCTTGTTAGGTTATGCAGAGCAAAAATTCGAAAAGCAAAAGCCCAGCTAGAACTCAATCTGGCCACGGTCATAAGGGATAACAAAAAATGGTTTTACGAATATATTGACAAGAAAAGGAGAGCCAAGGAGAATCTTCACCCTTTATTGGATGTAGGGGGGAACATTGTCACCAAGGATGAGGAAAAGGCTGAGGTACTTAATGCCACCTTTGCCTCAGTCTTTAATAGCCAGTCCAGGTATCCGCGGGGGATTCACCGCCCTGAGCTGAAAGAGGGATGGAGAGCAGAATAAACACCCCATAATCCAGGAGGAAGCAGTTAAGGACCTGCTATGCCACCTGGACACCCACAAGTCTGAGGCCTGATGGGATCCACCCAAGAGTGCTGAGGGAGCTGGTGGAGGAGCTTGCCAAGACACTCTCCATCATTTATCAGCAGTCCTGGTTAACAAGGGAAGTCCCAGAAGACTGGAGGCTTGCCAGTGTGACACCCATCTACAAGAAGGGATGGAAGAAGGATCCTGGACACTACAGGCCTGTCAGCCTGACATTGATTCCAGGGAAGATTATGGAACCATTCATCTTGAGGGCACTTACAGGGCATGTGTAGGACAACCAAGGGATCAGGCCCAGCCAGCATGAGTTCATGAAAGGCAGGTCCTGCTTGACTAACCTGATCTGCTTCTAGGACCAGGTGGATGAGGGAATGATGGATTCGCCCAGTGGATGAGTGAAACACTGTGGGTGTTGTTAACCTGGACTTTAGTAAAACCTTTGAGAGCATCTCCCACAGCATTCTCCTGGAGAAACTGGCAGTTTGTGGCTTAGACAGGTGTACTCTTTGCTAGGTGAAAAACTGGCTGGACAGCTGAGCCCAAAGAGTTGTGGTGAATGGAGTTAAGACTAGCTGACAGTGCCACACCACAAGCGGTGTTCCCAGGGCTCTGTTGTGGGGCCAGTCTTATTCAATATCCTCATCGATGACCTGGATGAGGGGATTGAGTGCTCCCTCAGTAAGTTTGCCTGACAATGACACCAAATTGGGCAGGAGTGTTGATCTCCTTAAGGGTAGGAAGGCTCTGCAGAGGAATCTGAACAGGCTGGATTGATAGGCCAAGGCCATCTGTATGAGGTTTAAGAAGGCCAAGTGCAGGGTCCTGCGCTTTGGTTACAACAACCGCATGTAACACTACAGGCTTGGGGAAGAGTGGCTGGAAAGCTGCCCGGCAGAAAAGGACCTGGGATTGCTGGCTGACAACTGGCTGTACATGAGCCAGTGGTGTGCCCAGGTAGCCAAGAAGGCCAACAGCATCCTGGCCTGTATCAGAAAGAATGTGTCCAGCAGGAA